TTTTTTTACTTATTTCTTTGTATTTTTCACTCTCTCATGTGCGTAAACTTTTATCTTAGCTGGCACGAATTCGATTTCATTTTACTTTTTATTACTACTTTGCTTCAATTTACAAAATTGAATATTGGCGACAAACTCGATTTTCACACACTTGTCCACACGCCAAACCCGCAGCCGCCCTTCGCTAACCACTCGCACCACTAACATTCACACAACCTGCCTTTGTCTCACACACGTTGCGTAAGTCATCGAATTATCCGTTAGAAACGAACTCGATTGGCAAGGACGAGTAAGTGGCTTCTCACTAACTAGCTGCTGCTCACAGGATACACCGCACAGTGGGGTGGAATTCATAAATGTAGAATAAACTTTAAAAGCCTCCGAGAATTCAGATTGTTGCTGTTGAATTTTAAATTTCATTTGTAATCATATGTCAGAACTATTATTTTGAGTAGTCCGATTACTAAATTAAATATTTATTGCAATATACTGCTTCATATATCTTGTATTTAATTGTAATATCAATACATTTTTGTTTATAATTTTAAGCTTCCTGACTTTTAAATGGCGGACTTCCATGTCTATATAGACAACTCCAATTTTAATTAATGGAAGAAAGAGCCATTTATAACTAAAAGTTTATTGTGTTTATTTTCACTTAGCCAGTTAAAAGGGGTTCAGTGCTTAGGATATTTCTTATGCTTGCTGTCGACAACATTCGATTACAAGACGTAACAAGACAATCCAAAAACCACTTGCTACATTTCTTGTATCTGGTTTCTTAGCCATAAGTATTTGGGTATTTATATTCACTTGTTTACACTTACACACAAAATCGCGCATTCTACTTCTATTTAAATCTACTTCTATTTAAATATATAAAATAGAATTAAGCTAGTGATTTCTATGCGACCCGTTAAGCTCAACCAGCACAGGCACACCCACTCCACAGACAATTCGCATTCTATTTGCCCACTGTGCCCTGGGACTCACAGTGACTATCGCACACACACACACACATACACACACAAACATAAAAGAACAGCTCCTTTGTGTGTCATTTAGCCTTTGTCTCACGCTTTCGTTTCATTTTCCTACCCAAGCCACATAAGTTGCCACCCCTGGACGGTCGTCGAACGACTTGTTTGCGCTCTTAATTTTTTCGCCAACTTTGCAGTTTCGCAACGTTTTTATATGATTTTTATACTTACGTGATATATTTTTCTGATGCGCCGTCACTGCTGTTACACTTTTTATTATCGGCGTTAACATCAAGATAAACCACCCCACCCACAGCCACCCGGGCAGCCACCCCTTATGTGTATATCTGTGGCATTGCCTTTGTCTTTGCTAACCGAGTGTGGGCTGTTTATTCAATTTTATTTATTGATTTTATATCTTTTGTGTATTATCGGGATAAGCGTTAAGTGTGCTCAATTTTCAGTTGCCTCCGGGACCCGCCTAGCTCTGACGGGGAAAGCCCAACTGACGATCTTTGTTGGCCATATGCTGATCCAGCTTGCGCCAGAACTCCATTAATATTTCACCATCCAGGTTGCGTTCATGCTCGGGAATGCTCAGTATGTTGAGCCAGAGCGATTCCAACTCCCGATAGATAGACTGCCCCTTGTAGTGCAAGTGAAAGGCACACAATTGGCGACAGATGACCGCAGGGTCGCCGTGGTTGGGCCAGCCAATGAACTGCTGATGTGGATTAAACACGAATACGGCCACAACCTGTTCCCAGTCCTCTACAGCCAGCCTGGCCACGTTGTCAATGACCCGATACTGCTGCTGCTCGCCGCGAAAGTTTCGCACTATATTGACTTCCTCCAGCAGCCGCAGATCCGAACGCCTCATTATAGCCGGCGGCACAAAACGCTGCTCCTGCAGCAAAGGCTGCACATTGTGCAGGGTAACCAAACTTGTAAACTCACTTGGCACCACAATAATAGGCTTGCGCGTCGGACGAGCGCCACTCGGAATTGGGGCATACGCCGACTGGCGTTGTGGCGGTGCATATAGCGGCTGACGATGCGAAGGCTGGCGCGGCGGTGGTACGTACTGTGGCTGGTGATGCCTGGACGGTGGCCGACTGCTTAACCGAATAATATTGCTGCCCGGCAGACTGTTCTGCAGGACATGTTCATTGCCAAGAGATGCAATAGATCTGGAAAGTTGCTCCTGGCCAAAGCGAGTGGGATCCATGCGTCGCGCAGCTGGTGGCTGCGGAGCACCAAAAGGTTGGTGGGGAGTATAATGAGGAGGCGGAGGATACTGGTGTGGATGATAGGAAAGAGGAGGGGGTATCTCCTGATATAAAAGTGGAGGAGGTATCTGATGAAAGGATTGGGGAGGAGGCATCTGCTGATAGGATTGGGGAGGAGGTATCTGGTTATAAGATAGAGCATGTGATTGCCGCTGAGCTTGAGTGTGAGGTTGAGGTTGAGCCTGAAAACAAGCTTGAGATGGAAAAGCATGCGCCGTATTGAAGGGGGTCTGGCGGTGCAGCGGTTGCGGCTGTTGCTGCTGGGGCTGTTGCTGCTGCTGCGGCTGTTGTTGTTGCAGTTGCTGCAGCCGCAGCATCTGCTGATGTTGTGGCTGCGGTTGGTCCACTATCAGCGTCTCCAGCTCTGGTGGCACAACGGGTACCTCGCGCAGTTTTGCTGGCTGGGGCTTGGGTACTGCGCCCAACGGTTTCACAGCCGCCTCTCGTGGCTTGTCCAGTAAACGACAATTTTGAAAATCGTAGACACGTGCCAAGGTACGCAGTGCACCCGGCAGCTCCTTCTCGCCAAGCAGCAGTTCCGCACGCGTGCGATTTTGCCGCTCGCGCTCTATGGCCTTGATGGCCACAGCTGCATTGTGCTCCAGTTCATTTTGCGGACCCAAGTAGCTAGGCGCAAAGGCAATAGACTGCATTTCGCTCTCGAATTCATCGAAATCGGTGTCGTCATGCGACTCGAGCGCCTGGCACAGCTCCCAGTAATTCTCGGGCTTACCTCGCGGCTGAATTTGACGGGTTGGTGACCCAGTCGCTCCCTCGGCGCCACTGTCCTTTTTCACTTTCATTTTCAAATTTTCAAATCTTTGACTTTTTTTCAGCTGTCTTTTAATTTAATGAAAATCTGTCAGTTTTTCCTTGGTGCTGCTAACTTCAGACAAGAATCGATTCAAAAATGCCAAATGCAACCCTAAGTCATTTGACCTGCTAACTGGGTAAAAAGCCTTAAAATAATTGTGTTTCCCTCATATATGAAAACTTCCTTAAAGCTCTCTGTAAATACTCCCGCATTGTCCTCATCATATATGTGAATATATTAACTTTTATTTACAAGCAATTTTTTACTTTTATTGCTTTGACATTGGCCCACGTTTTGTTGTTGTTGTTGTTGTACTTTTTGTTGTCCTCGATTTGCTTTTATTTGTAAGCTATTCTTATATTTATTTGGCAAAGTTACTTTGGCCTCTGCTCAGCTACCAGCCCCATAAAAGATATTGTCCCCTGCTTTATGTTATTGACTTTAATAACATTTTAGCTGCGAGCCATGAAAATATTTTTGCAAAATGTGTGCTTTTATACACTATCGGAGGCGATTGTACTTTCGTCTCTAGACGTATTAAATAAGATTTTTGAAACCCTAAACCTTAAATAAATTTCACCGCGAAGTCACAAGCTGACTTCTAATGCAACTTAATCTAGATGCCTCCTGTTAGAGTAAACATAATTGGCTTACGATTTAGATTACAGATTACAGTCAATCAATTGAAGAAAGCTTAGTTTTTGTTTAATAACATCCTTCTGCTCCGATCAATACTGCTTGCCCATATAAACAATTTAAAGCAGATTAATTCATCGTATATCTGCCATCTGTAAGGGTATTAAGAGTTCGTTACACCTCAAGTAACATTCTTTTTTCTTGTTTTCTTTATTTTTTCCGAGTTTATTATGAATTTGTGGCGTTTTGTTTTTCGCTTGTCGTTGGTTCTCATTGAAGTTGATTTGGGGTTCGGGCCAAGGCATCGACTTGGACTGAATTGGGGTGTGGGCCCTTACTTCAAAATCAATTAATGCAGCAGCTACTCGAGCAGCTAACTACCCCAAACAGATGCTCAGTGCATAAAATCCGTAACCCGTCGATATATCAAATTGCCCGAGGTATACGTAATTGCTTAAGCGAAATTTCATTACCAAAAGCTAAGGCCAAAGCGACTTGCACTCAAAAGCTGCTGTCAGAAGCGAGGGTCGCGTGTGATAAATTCCATAAAAGGTCGTTGAAATGAAATTCTCGCCCAGTGCTTGGCACTTTAGCTGGCAGCCATTTTGTCGCTGCACTAGAAAATGGCGGCGTCGCCATTTTTGTTTATGGGCGCATTTGTCACGGCAAATTGTATTGCCAGTTGACTCCTAGCTGCTGTTCTTTTTGTCTACGTATGTGTGTGTGTGTGTGTGTAAGTGTATATGTGTTTTGTGGCTCATGCAACACGCGTTAACAATGCGCCATAAAAATGTCTGCCCCGTAAGCTCACCTTACGTCTGGAAGCGCCAGCATGTTAATTAAGTTCGGTTGAGCTTTGCAGAATAGATGAGGGTCTTCTGGCTAGACGCGACCAAAGTCATCTGATTTGCTCATTAGTTCCGCTATAAATTTAATGCATGTGTTAATTAAATATATCTGCATTATAACTTTAGAATAATGAGATTGAATTCAGTCAACTGCAATTACTAATTTTCATTGATTTTTACTACTTCTTCCTGAATACAATAAATTTAATATAATATATGTATATCCTACGTTTTGATATATTTATTGTAAATAGTAACATACTTTTGCGCTGATCTTAATTGTAGCTCAGAAGAAATTGGTTGATTTTTATTTATTACCTATTTAAACGTACTGTATTGCTTCTATTCCTTAAAAAAATATCGATATAAATCACTAAAAAGATTTTCCTCAAAAACTATTTCGTTTATATAAGAGAAAGACAAATGCATTGCGCAAATTCATAGAACAGACGTATATAATTCGCATAAACTTTTTAAATACCATAATAAAATGATTTACTCATGAGGGAAACTCGCTTATAAAATAAATAATAAGAAGTGTCAGTTAGTGTGCTCGAATTCGTAGTGTATTGCAAGGCGCTTTAATGCCATTTATTGGGATTTATTGTGAGCCGGAAGTAAGTTCTATGAATAATTTTCGCGTTGCCTAGAGTTGCCTGAATTCAGCACTGCCGTGCAGATCGAGGCTGCTGCAACTGGGCCGCATCATCAGATAGTGGCTGAGTTTGTTAAACCCTGCTAAACTGTGGACGGTCAGTCGATACATTTAGTTATCGACTATCAAATTTCGAATGGCTTGGCTTACCACTTTAAGTCGAGTGCCTCCGTCAGCTGCGAGCTGTGTTCACTGATGTTGCGGCCTGGTGGCTGCTCCTGCTGCAGGGAGCTCATCAAAGTGCTCAGCTCCTCGTGCAGCTGGCCATTGTAGAAGTGAACTAGTTTGTTCATCGATTTGTAGCTGCGTGATATCAGCTGCTGCAGCTCCAAGCCGTTTGCATCAGTTGAAGCTGCCCTGGGCGTGCCAGAGTTAGCCATTTTTTCTTGGCTTTCTTTTTTTTTTTTGAGTAAATATTTTTTTATTTATTTTTTTACCGAAATTTATGTAGGAGAAAAACTAAAACTAAAGTTAAATGACAGGCCCGGCCCAGGGCCCTGCCTCCCAGGAAAACAAATCAAAAGCAGTTGACATAGATTCGTACTCACAAAAAAAAAAAAAAAAAAAAACAAATGAATATGCCTTATTTCATTTATTCCCTTTCTTTTTTGAAGTATTTTTATAAATCAGCGAAGTGCGAAGCGAAAGCCGAAAAATGCACATACATAACGTCCGATTTCATCAGGCCGGAACGCTCTAGGAGATTTGCATTTGCTTACGCAATGTGAGCAGCGATGAGGAAATGTCCATTGGACAGGATTTGGTGGGCAGCGAACGGAGATTTGCTTTTTTGACGAGTGCCCAGCGGCCGCAGTCAACTGCATGAAATTGAAAAACGCTCCCAGTGCTTATCAATGCAAAGCCAAAAGCGAATGTTTTTTCCTCCATATGTGTGAGTGTGTGTGTGTATGAGTGTGAGTGCGAGCTTGTGCCTGCTTCGATTTGGCTTTGAAAAAGCCCACAAAAAAAAGCGAAAACAATCTCGGTTAAGTGGGCAGCTCACATGGCGTATGCGCAACACATGCCAATGGCAGCTGCATACAAATTCGCTACCAAGCCCGGCCAATTATTTGTTGCGGCCATTTTATTACGTAGCCGCAGTGTGGCCGTTAACATAAAGCAACGAGAAAATCATTTAACGACGCCAGCGTCGACGAGGCAGCAAAACAATTTTGTCAGCTTATAAACAGTAAAAATAAAATGCTGTTCTAAGCAAATAAGCCCAAGGAGAGTGAAAAAAGCAGTCGTATGGAGTAAAGGACAACAACACACGAGCGCACATCAGAATAAAGCGTCAATGAGGGGCATATATACACACACACACACACACACACACGTATATACAGAGCATATACCCAAAAACACAAACACAGAAGATCACACGCCTGCAGCCCCTTGAAGGCGATATCTATATTACTTTTGGCTGGCAAATTGTTTTCATTTACATTTTCGGGCCAACACGAAACACAAGACAGTTTTGGGTAACGGCCATTCTCGGGCTAGTTAAAGAAAATGAGTTCGTGGAAAAACTATAAATTGCGGTACGCTAGAAACAGGCGAAACATTATTAAATGCTGTTAAAGCAAGCTGCAAAATGTACTAAGAATTAGGTAAAAGGGTAATCCGATCCTAACAGAAAGAAGTAAAAAGTAAATCAACAAATAATCAAATGTTACAACATAATAGAGAAGCACGATAATTGAGCTGACAATAAGTAAATATATCAACACAGCACTTGGAACTGAAAAAGTTTATATATACAGAACGGATACTTTTCAAAAGGAATATTCATAATAGCTAAATTAAATCAAGTTTTTCGCATCATTTCAGTTATGCTGGAAGCAGCTCAAAGACATGCCTCAAGTCGGCAGCTGCTTTGAGCCAAAGTTGTTGACATCAAATTGAATGAAGTTTGAGCGTTGCACATGACGTATGCTTGATATTTGCGGGTGGCTCTTTTGCACGTTGGCAACTGCAGTGCTTCAGCAGGGCGCACTTGAAATGCTTGCAACTGTTGCACATGCACATCGGGGGCATCAAAAATTGTGCAAACATGATTGCCAGCTGCCGCCGCGCCCCCAACAAGAGAGTAAGTGGACGCGGCAAGAATTTCAAGAAACGAATGAAGTTGCCAACTTGTTTGAACAACTTGAAAAGGTTAGCAAAAGCGTCGAGTGTGCAGCCCACCTTCAACTGTGCCCGGTGGCTGCTGCTTGTTGTTGTTGCCGCTGCTGCTGCTTCTACTGCTGCTATGTGTGGACACTTGAAAACAAGCTCATCAACTGTGACAACAACAAACGTCGGCAGGACGATGATGTAGTCGCCATCGCCGTCGTCGTCCAGTCGTTGACATTCCCATTGCCAGTCAGCGCACTTGCAGTTCATATCCGTTCGCTATTTCTTTGCCCAGTGCCCCGGCGTCTGCTTCTGCTGCTCCTGGTGCTCCTTCTGCCCATATACCACTCTATGTCAGCGCTGCCCCAATGGGCAATTCCTTGTCATTTCGAATTGAAGACGTTTCGATGTCACACTCTGATTTGCTGTCCACTCAAAGTGCCACAGCAAATAGCAACTGAATTGAACTCGAAAAAGTTTTTAAAGTACGATTCGTTTGTAGATTACACTTTTTTTGGCCTAGATAGCGGACAGTGGACGTATGTACTCATTGTCAATAAAATTCTCCGCGCTTGTGAATTTGCGATTAAAATTTGGCTTCGATGCTTCGATTAGGAAAATAAAGTAGATAGACATGGTAGATTGCTCATGTAAAATCATCGAAGCTAAGTTCTTTTGGTTGAATGCTGGTCAGGGGTAACAATAGTTTTCATATATGCGCTATCTTATAACCAATATAGACAATTAAAATGCATTTAAATTCAACTTCAACGAAAATTACTAATATATTGTAACACTTTAAGAAACAGATTTTTTACCTCTCTTTCATATATTTATTAAAATCGATTTTTAAATTAAAATTTTGATTGCCCTCATTTCGATTAGATATATTTATTGATGGATGCTTATTTAATATTCGCGCTGCTATGGCGCCCATAAGTAGGCCACATACGACAGTTCTAGAGAGGTTCTCTGTCGTCTATTGCCGGCTGACAAGTGGCAGCTGGCAGCTGGTGACATGCAGCATGGCTTTTCCATTAAGGCAGCGCGCTCCGATTCTGTGGGTCTGCGTCTTTGCAGCTTATGCAGCCAATCATCGAGCCAGCTCTGACAGACAGGTGTGAGTGTGTGTGTGTGCTTGGGTGTGCGTGTGTGTATTTGCATGGCATTTGCGACTTGCTACAGCTGCTGCGCTTCAAACGGAAATTGCGACATTCCTTTGCTTTTGCCACACGCCACTTGCCTCTGTTTTGCAGCTGCTTAAAAAAATTCGCACGTATGCTAATGTTTCACACACACATGCTGAAGCAATCGCTCAGCCACATGCACTAAGTGTTTTTGAAATTACGGTAATTTATTACGGGTCCAGCAACGAGTAAAATGTTTTTGCTGCCACGCCCACAACAGCCACTACTGCAACTGCTGCCAAAGTGTGTCAACAGTTGCAACGCTTTGACTTTTACCCCTTGAGAGATTGCCACAGTCGTAGTATGTTCAGCTGACAACTGTTGCCTGCTCTGCACCGCAACGTGGCCGCTTGCCAGCCCTCACCTGCTCCTGAAATTGTAGCTTAGTCAGCTCGGCAGATGCTTTTTGTTTTTGCTGCATACTTTTGTGCGCAGTTTTGTGCAAAAATATTTTAAGCTGCTTTTAACACGCACACATGTACACACACGCACACCCTCGGCTCTGTAAAATTTTACTAATTGTTTTGCCGCCAATTATGTGCACAAGTGTGTGTGTCGGCATGCGTGTGCGTGTAGGTGTTGCCCTGACTGTGTGTGTGCATGTATTACCTAGCATTTGATGTATGCGTACAGTTTATTAAAATGTTTTGCAGCCTGAAAATTTACAAATGCCTTTTTACTCGCAATTTGTAACTTTTGCATAATATTTAACACACATATCTATGGCGGTTTGTGGTGGAATGTTGGATGTGGCCGAAGTGCTAGAAATTTGAAATTATTTAAGCTACAAGAAATAGAGAATTTACGACAAGTATTTAGCAAGAGAGACGGAATTTAAACTTTTTGAAACAATGCCCCGATTGACAAGATTACATTTGGTAAATTGAATTTAAGACCTGTATAAATACCAAGCAGAAAGACGTAAGGAAAGCTAATAATTGCTTCTTTGAGTCATATGACTTGCACATACTTCAAATAACAAATGGTGTCGATAATCCATGTCTAAATAACCAGTTCATTTAAAAGGTTGCGAAGACTTTAGTTGAATGTTGACAACGGAAAATATAATGGAAAATATAATCAAGCTATAAAGAATTATCCCAGTTAAATAATTAAAATTATCGATATTTGAGACTGATAACTACAAACAAATTTTTGATAAGCCTATAATTCTTCGCAGCTAACGAATTTTTTGTTGAACTATATTTCTGATTGATTTCGGACATTTATTTTAGTTGCCTTCTTCAAATATTTTATTAACTTGGATTCTAGGAATCTACCTAAGACGCTTATTATTTTCGGCAGTCACTTTAAATTTATGAAGACTCCACCTGTAGATTTAGCATTAACATGGAACCTTTTAATCTATAGCCATTAGTTGCTTTTTATACACTTAAACATTATTTAAGTCAGTGCCAGAAGCAATTAGGTCTTGAGGCCTAGAAAGAAAAAGTTAAATAAAAAATATAAAAGAGCGGCTGGCATCAAAAATGTTCCGATTTTATCAGATGTCTCTCACACAGGCTGTCCAGTCAGGCATTAAGCAAAAGAAATTGTCGCCCCTTACGCCACAACGCGCATACGCCCCGTGGTAAAGTGAACGGGCAAATAAACATATGAAAGACAGAGGGAGAGAGAGAGTGGGGGAGAGGGAGGAAGAGAGCGAGAGAACCATAACCAAGAAAAACGAATACGAAACTGTTGCGAAAATAAATGATTGTTTAATATTTATTCTCGTATTGCTTGGAAACGCGACCGCACTTTCTGCCTGCTGCTCGTGCGGCTGTTGCATCATTTTTCATACCGCCCCCAAAAAAACAGCCTCCAGTCGCCCAGACTAAGTGCCTCTCTGCGCTGGGCTATTAATGCCAGTTGATTGGGCCGATAGAGCGGAGCTGCCAAGGCCTATGGAACATATATATATATATACATATATATATATATATATATATATATACATACACACGTATGGCCAAGTACACCCCATATATGTATTTATTATTTAGCCAACGTTTGTGATTATTTACGCCCGATAAGAAAGGGAGCTGGCCGGCCCTTCAGCTTGCCAGACTGAGTGTAAAAATGATTGAGTATCCCAGACTGGACGTGGTTCAAAGCAACAAAATCCGCATTGTGTGTAT